TGCAGCTCCGACCTGCAGCGGAGATTGGCAGGGAGGGAGCTTCTCCTTTGGCTGCGGGCTTGGAAGGCCCATTAGGAAACTGCAGCCCTGAGGTGTCCCTGGGGAAGTGTCACAGGGCAGAAAAGGATAGTCCCTCCTGTCCCCTCTGCCCCTCGTGGAGGCTGCTGGCTTTGGGAGGACATCGTGACGGCAGCGAGGCTGGCTCTGCCCGAGGACACTTTGCACAGGGTGTTTTACAGCCCCTGGGCGCCTGCTGCAAGTCCCCACGGAGCACGAGGGGACGGAGGGCACGGAGATAAGGGCACTAGCTGAGGACTTAGAGGCTGGGGCTGTTTTCTGTCCTCTCCTGCACCTCTCCTCCGTGTCTCAGTGGGGTTATTCAGGGTTGCATAGGTGGTGCTGGAGGCAGAGCTCGCTTAGATGTGCCTGGCCCTCCAGCCCAGGCTGCTGTGAGCCTGGTTCTGCTCAAGGTCTTTCGCCTCTCCGTGCCTCAGTTTCCCTCCACGCACTGGGGAATAGTCTCTTGCTGCACAGGGGCAATGTGAAAATAATCTCGGGTGCAGGAACTGTTTGCTCAAGTAGCAGAGCACGCCAGGACCTGTGGTGCGAGTGCTTCTTTAATGGCAATTGCTCCGCTGTCTTCACTGATTCTGTTGGGGACCATATGCACGACAGGGTAGGCAGGAGAGACGTGTAGAGAGGCTGCTGGAAGGCCATAAATTGCAAGCAAGTGTCCCACGCAAGGCGGTTCTGGAAAGCCAGGCCCTGTTGCATCTGGGATCTATTTATTTGCTGTGAAGCTTTCCTTTGGAGAGATAATGCTAAAAGGATATATATAAATTGCTGAGCTAAAGCACCAGTGTCCTGGCCTTCATCATCCATGCGAGCTCTCGCTCCCAGCCAGCAGCTCTCCCACGGATCATCACCGCAAATCATCTTCTCTGCTCTGCATCCCGGGTGGCGCGAAGCTGGGAAGTCTCCCGAGTGCCTTTGGATAAGGGCTGTCCTGTGGAGGTGGGCGGGAGTCTGGCAGCGCGGGAGGAATTTGCCTTCCTATTAAATCATCTGTTAACGTCCCTTGCGGGGGCTCCTTAGGCAGCGGTGTCAGCTCTCTTGGTGGGGTAGGAGGGATGGACTATCCCCTTCTCCTTCCCCCCGGGGCTGTATAGGAGGGACGTGTCATGTCACGCTGGTGCCCAGCTCTGTTTGCTGGCAGCATTGCAGAGCATCACACTTGCACTTACTCCAGAGCAGCACATGTAGCGTTCGGCCCTTTCATCTCTGGATGCACCCAAATCCTCATCTCGACTCAGTGTTATGGACATTGTCATTTTTAAGCCGTGCTTAGCCCCATGAGAAGTCATTCCCATGGGTTTAGACCCAATGAGGGTGTAGAACCAAGGCCAAGGAGAGCAGGTTGCAAGCCAGGATGGGGTTGGTGAGGTTGGAGTGGGGACTGGAGTGCCAGCATTAGCAGGATGCTCACATGGGAAGGCCTGGGAGCTGTAGCACTTGGAACTTATTCCTTCCTCTCTCTCTTGGCCCTCTATGTCTAAGAACATAGGTGGGCCCTGCTGTGGAGGTGGCTTGACCCTTGTCCACACAGTTCTTGGGGGCAGCCTCAGCATCTTGTGATGGTGGCTGAGCTTGACTGAGCTTGACCAGGAGGTTGGGTGACGTCCTGGGTGTGTTGTGACTCTGCTCCTCAGTGACCACTGCTCTCTGCACTCTTGTCTCAATAGCTCAATTCACCCATGAACCCTGTCAGCAGCTCAGAAGACATCAAACCACCCTTGGGGCTCAATGGGGTCCTCAAAGTGCCAGCACATCCCTCAGGAACTATGGCCTCCTTCACCAAGCACATATGTGCCATCTGCGGGGACAGATCTTCAGGTAAGACTCACTTCCAAGCCTGGAAAAAACCACCAGCCTGCAGTGTCAGGGCTGGTGACCTGTTTTTCGTGGGCTGTATTTGTGTGCAAACTCCCTAGATGAGCACAGAGAGGGAGAAGAAAAGACCTTTCAAAGGGAAGCACCCTCCAGCCTGTCTGATCTTGGAGGCAGCTTCTGACAAGAGCTGGCTGAAATGTGCCTGACTCAGGTCTTTGACTTCTCAGTTCTTCATCACGCTCTGAATTTAACAAGAGAAGTAGCCGATGTGCCCTGGTCCTCAATATAGCAAATGCCCAAGATCTCTGCGTAGCAGCAGGGCTGTATCCTGAGCCCTGAGCAGTGCAGCTAGTTCAGTGTCCCTCTCCCTACCCCGTCCTTTGATCCGTAGCTGGTCTCGTCACATAGCACCAGATAAAAAGATGTGCTTCACATTGAGTCATTCCACTCTTGGGAGATAAAGATGTGCTATTTCCCTTTATTCTCGTGCTATTTTAAAAGCTTTCCACTCCGTAAGTGCTCTGGTCATCTAGTTTTTGAGGTCCTTAAGGACACCTCCTGCCTCCCGTCAGGCTCGCATGACTGGAAAAGGAGGAGCGGGGAAGGTGCGTAATGGAAATCCAGCCGAGACTTGATTTATGGCAGGGTGAGTTCAGGCAGGTCATGGGGAGAGCAGGGAGACGCTCCGGGATGCCCCCTGTTTTGCTCCTGCGTGGCATATCCTTTTGCCTATGGCTACGGAATGGTGAGGGCTTTTTCCAGATGGAAGTGTAAATAGTCCAGGTAGGGTTCTCCCAATTTTATGGACATCAGCCACAGGACAAAGCCACCGCTAGCTCATTTAGCTCATGCTCACTGCTCCAAGAAACCTCTGCTTCTGCCAAGCACTGCCTAGCTCATTTAGCTCATGCTCACTGCTCCGAGAAACCTCGGAGCCAAGCACTGCCACAAAAGGCCTTGGGAAGCTTGGAAGGTCTGGATGGGGAGGGAGAACGAAGTGGGGAGCCTGGACACTTGGTGAGTCCTTCTAACCCATTGCACCCCCTCCAGGTAAACATTACGGGGTCTACAGCTGCGAGGGCTGCAAAGGCTTCTTCAAGCGCACGGTGCGGAAGGACCTGACCTACACGTGCCGAGACAACAAGGACTGCTTGATTGACAAGCGCCAGCGGAACCGGTGCCAGTACTGCCGGTACCAGAAGTGTCTTGCAATGGGGATGAAGCGAGAAGGTAAGGCAAAGAGAGAGGCGGGCTGCCCTGAGCACCCATGGGTGCTGTGAGCCCTGCAGGGACTTTTCCTTCATCAGGAGGCTCCTGTGTTGGGCTCTTGTGTTGGTGCTTGGCAGCACCATCTGCACCAAAGCTAGCAGGAATCTCCTCAACGTCTTCATGCTCCAGGTCACCAAATCATGCCATTCTTCCACTGC